AATATCTTAACTCTAAACATCTTGCTACAACAGCTTTTAAGGTGTAGGTCATAGACAGATGGCAGTCTGGGAAATATTGCCCAGTCAGCCAGTCCTGACTCATTGTTTCCAGCTGCTACACAATCTTAAGTAATGTAATTATTTTAATTTTTTCACTTAAAACTGTTGCTATAGTTTCATGGTAATTGCTGGTGGGAATAGAAGTCATGCTTTCATTGCAAATGACACCAAGCTTTTTTTTTTCTTTTTTTACTCCCGATTGCTCAGATACAGTAGAAGCTTACTATTTTTTTAGTTTTCATAAAAATGAAACACTTCTGATGGGGAAACTTGATTTAAGTGCACCTCATGGGTCTACCAAGACTAGGTGCTTATTTCTACATTACCACAGACCTCTACCACTTAAGTTACATTTATAATAAAATCAGTTCTTCTGGAGATGCATGACAAAAATGTCGGTACTAAAACCACAAAATTGGGAGCTTCTGGATATTAGTCCAAGAACTAAATATGAGCAGAATTTTTGCTCGAATAAAGCCCATAGGCTGTAGAATTCACTTGGAGCCCAGGTGTCCCTCTCAAAGCCCCAGCACAAGTGCCAACAGGAACGATAAGGCGACCAACCTGCCCCAGGCTCCCTGTGGGCCGGCTCTTCTCCAGCTGCTGCCCTACAGACCCCAGGCCTTAAGAAGGACTTCTCTGCAGCACCACCTGGAGCAACAGACAGACCTAAGTGACAGCCCGGCTTCAGGAGTGCTTCAGGGACCCTAAGACCATGGTTTGAACCAGGCCTTTGCCACTCCCCAGCATGACCTCCCCTGGTAACGCTGCCTTGCAATTACACTGGCACCAGCTCTGCCTTTGAAGCTGGCAATAGTTTACGGGCGCGATGGGGTGAAACCAGCTGGTGGTATCCCTTGTTGGTGAGCCTGGCCGCTAATATCACTGTATCCTACATAAAGACTCAGTTCAAAATATGAAGGATAAAAACAATTTCTAGAAGTTAGTATTTCTACAGTGATGTAGAGTCAGTAGGGACCATGACAAACCTCAACCGATTTCTCTCTAAACAGGTATTTGTTAGATGTTGCTTAACAGTTCAAAGCCTCTCTATATATACACACATTGTTAATAAAAATTATATTTTCACTGCATGTTTATACACAACTGTGACTAGCTCTTCTCATAGGACACTGCTGGAGCCTCAGATACTGCAGTGATGGGTAAGGCAGGAATCTCAATCAATAGAGTGTTTGACCAAATTGTTAGTGGGATCTGAAAGGACACTATGACTCTTCTTGCTGGATGGAGAAACATCTGCACATATATGACACCTATATGCAAACCCCCAGATTTGTGCAAGCATTTTGGACTAGGGTACTAAACAATAAAATCCCTGACTGATAGAATTCATCAAATGAAGCCTTAGTACAAGTCCAATTACATCAGAAAAAAACTAATCATTCCCAGTACAGCTTTCCTTGCTTGTGGAAGGTGTCCAAACATTACTATAAAACATGCCTTTGCACACACAGCTGCATCACACCACGTGCTTTGTCATGCTGGTACCGTCCTGAGTGTCCCGAGCAAGCAAAGCACTTCTAACCCCAGACGCATCCTGCCCCTGGAGCACGCAGGGTACTCTGCGCCCCCTCTGCAGGGCAGTTAATTTTGGTTGGTACTGGCAACTGATAATGATATAAACGTCAACAAACAAACCACAACCCTCTTGTTGCTTGCAATTACACGGCCACATTAACGACCCTGCTGCCACCCCTCCCTTCCCATCCTGCTCAGTCCCAGGTTCTGCTTCCTCTCTCCGCGTGAGAAAGTGTGCTCTGACACAGGCAACGCCCTGTCCTGCTGCTGACGGTCTCCCCAGTGAGGATGTTTCCCATGCCTCCAAGATTTCCTAAGCCCACAAGAAGCATAATATACTCTCCTGGAAGTAGTTCTCAGGAATCAAATTAATTTTAACTGACAACCTGAAAACCAATTGAAAATTAGCAACCATAGCCTACAGTAAACAGACAGGAATTTGTCTGAATTAAATCTACCTGTGATCTTGTTTTTTTCTTTTTGTGAAGAGTGAGCGTAAGATGATGACATTCTTTACCAAGGCATGGCAGTGAAATACCCTAATTAGGTGAAAAGATTTGTGTATAGTACTCCAGCAAAACTCACTGCATGAAAACAACACTACAGTCTTCTGTGTTGCTTCCCCCATAACAATAAAATATCCTCCTTCAACTACAACAAACAATGCCAGTAAGAGTACAGCTCTACTAGTATTTCTAAGCCACAGGCTTCTGCTAACATAGCTGTGTCAGACTTACATCCTCCCACCCAACTCATACCAACAAAACTGTATGCCCACCTTTCCAAAGGACGACACTAACTCTCAAAGTTGATGGCTTTGATAAACCTCTGTCGGCTTCCACGGTACTGATTCAGATGGAAACAATCTTCTTCAAACAAATGAATCCAGCCCCTGCTTTTTGTCTCTGCAAGTGCAACACATCTGTGCTTGTTGCGTGAGGTAACCCCGCTGCTTCTCCTTGTGCCAGATAATCAAACTCTTGCGTTTTCTGTCTTGCAGGCCTTCAGTATTTTCTTCATGCCAAAGCTTGCCCTGTGGCTCTTTAATAAAGCTGCAAAACTTCAGGTAGAGAAGCAGGAAACACTTGGAGCTTTCACCACGCTTTGCAAGCCCAGATCATAGCCATCAACTGGTGACAACAGCCTTACACATGCAAAGACCTACTGAACATCGGAGGCTGTTGGGGCCCATGAGAGAGCAACACAGCCCCCTCCACCAAATAAACACAGTGGCACAGGACAGTAGCACTCCTTTGATTTTGCTACTTCAATGACAAAGTGTGTCTGAGTATTAAAATTTATTTTCTTTCTTATGAGTTTTAAAGGTATTTGCGAAAATAAGTGTCCAATGAGGTAATTTTTATACTAACATTTTCTGGAATTCATGGGGCTAGAAATATGGTACAAGACAGCTATGTTTGTTTATTATACTTTTTTTCATTTATTTAAAAAATAAAAAAGGAAAAAAGCCCAAGCAGTTCCGAGTTAGTTTTTTGCATGAATTTGTGTCCCGTGCTTCACTGACTTGGTCTAAGAGGGCAGAAGTTCCAGTGGGAGCTTTTTCTGCACTCAGCGTTATTTTAGGTCTTCTTCCCATACAAACTGCCTAGCATTTAATAAAACGTGAGCACAGGCTAAGAGCTTTCCTTCATTACACACTGGTTTCTGCCTCCTTCCCCATGCCTCCTTCCCCTATAAGAACAAATCTATTTCTCCTCCTCTCCGCCACCCCTTCAGCAGCTTCATTTGCTGGTGTCTCTGTTAAAGGACACACCACAGGCAACAGATTCTTACAGAGTTTTATTCTGAAAACAAGTTAAAGATGAGGTAAGGCTTACTTAAAATTTAACTAAAGTTTCATGTTTCACTTTGGGAAAAAAGGAACGGTACGCTTATGAAAAGATAGTAGGAAACATGCTTAAAAGTACTTCAGCATGAATTTTGCGTCATATGGGGCTACAAAGAATGCACTAGGAACCCTCTCCTGACATATATTTGACCTTCCTTGCAACCACACAATTGCAACATCCTGAATGTTCGTAGCTAGTTTTCCCAGTGAGTTTTCCAACTTGCTTACATCTATACCAAAGTGTAGCTATGTAAATATATTATAAACATAAGCATCTAATGTATATCTGTGTGAGGCTTTATTTGATGTTCATGACTGCTGTGCATCATCAAGAATGGATTTACAAGCCAAACTTTCAGAAAGTAACAATTATACTTTTCATTTTATATATAATGCACCCACACTAAGACTAAACTGTAAATTAAGCCAAATGCAGATGAAGAAAAAAAATGTATTGTGTATTTAAGAAACTTCCTTTAAAACAAATTATTTTATCTTGATCCAAACATTCACAATAGCAGGAAGCTGGATGATAGCATGTTTACAACTGTATCAGCTCCAAAACCAGTAAAGCATCCTCCCACTATATTAAAAAAAGATTCTTTGAAAGATGAAAAACAAGGTTAGTCCAAAGCCTCTTAACTGAATTATCCTAAGACAAAAGATTTTGACACCTATGGTGCATATTATTTAAAAACTGGTTTAAACAGTATTTTGTTGCAAACAAATATGCAAATATTCTATTAAACATTCCTACTTTCCTCATAAATCAACGCTCAAAATTTGGTCAGAAAGACAAGCCAGTTTCCATATTATGGAAGCTTAGAAGTGGATTTTGGGAGAGATTTTTTAAGGTTTGTTTTTGAGTGTTATTCCCTTTTTTCTCTCCTACGATTTTTCTTGCAACCAGCTTCAAAGCAGCAGGTACTATGATACATCTTATCCTGCACTTTCCCCTACAGAAGTTGCCATTACAAAGATTTAAATCATATTAAAAAAAAAAAAGCAAACTTGCTTTAAGAAGAGTAGTTTTTAAGTGTAAATGGCACGATACAGAATGGTATTAGTGATACTTGAGCTAGCTCCAGATTAACTGGCAAAGCTCAGTGGCACAGGCTGGCAGGGAAGACATGAAGTTGAAAGCAGGGAAAAGCA